TGGATCATGGACCTAGGACTAAAACCAAGGACTATGAAATTCATTACAGAAAAGCTAGGAACAACACTAGAAGTCCTAATCCACAACATAAACAAATTCTTTGTACTCTTGACCAGGACCTCCATAAGCGTCATTTCCAATCACTGCGAATGCTTAAGTAGACCCTTTTCTAGTCTTTCCACAGCTGTGTGACAAACACATGAACATTCAATGCTTGTGCATTTTACAGCCTCAAAACCTACTGCCCTGTCACTTGTTTCCTGCTTGATTTCAATGAGTTCAAGTCTTGGGGGTCCAGCTTTCATCCGGATTAACTTCCTAGACCATTTGGCATATTTGTAATGACATGTCACCTTCCCTGGCTCCTTCAGTGCCTTGTTCCTTTATGCACCATTTTAATTTTGCCACGGACTTCTTTGTTCTTCCGTCATCCTCCAAATCATGACGGGTGTTTCAGATGTCACGGCAATTAACTGTGGTCCTTTTCCAAGTGATGCCAAGGCACTTGAGTCTTTCAAAACTGTAGTATCCAGGACACTCAGGAATTACACATGGAATTCAGAGGCTAACCTTCTTAGCTGTTTATATCCACCATTGTCACCAGTATTTATTAGAATAGGATTTCTGATGGGGAAGAGAGAGACGGCACTCTGTCTAGTCCTGACATAACCTGAGGGGCCCATTCTCACATTTTTCTTTAGGTCAGTTTTATTGGACAGGAGATGATAGCAGTAGTCACTGGTTTGGATTATGAATCCACCAGAAGATAAATAGACCTCCTGCTTAATATTGTGTGTGAATGCAGCTTTCTGAGCTGCTGGTGGAATGTTGTATCACCTTTTATGCCAAGTTGTTCCCAGGAGTTGCATACTTTGATTCTCTTGATGCTACAGCTCACTTGTATTCACAGTTCATCTTGCCCGTGCTCTTGTGTGTCTGCCGAGTCACAAGAATTGCTGTCAAGTGCAGATTGATTCAGAGTGGACCGTCCTGCCTGTTTTCAGACCCAGACCTTCATAAGAGAGAACATTACTCACTTTTCTCAAGAAACTAATGTTCTGAATTCAAACACATTTCTATTGTTTGCTGGTTTTTTTGTATTGTTTGTGTATTGTTTTCTTGTGCTCAGATGTTCACACTATCGCCAGGTGATTTCAGTGTCTAGGAAATCAGACAAGATGTAATCTGTGAAGAAGTGAATTTAATAAGGTCAAGGAACAGGTTTGAAGTCTGATTCCCTAACTAGAAAATAGAATTTTGTCTTTTCCGTATACTTTTTAAGTTTCTCAGGGTCATGTTTTGTTCTTTTTCATATTCTGTTACATGATAGCTTCGTGATCCAGATTATGTTGTGTGTGTTTTAGGATCCATTATTCCCTGAGGACGTGGTCATCCTCTTCAGCCAGGAAGAGTGGCCTTTCTTGAACGTGGCTCAGAAGAAACTCTACACGGATGTGATGATGGAAACACTGGAAAATCTGGAATTAATAGGTAAAAATGGCATTTTATACGTTTTTAAATCCTCCTTACGCACATAAAGTTGTCTCTGTGAATGTACAATTCTTTTGACTGTGCCCCCAAAAATTGGAATTCTGTGTTCGGTCACACATGCATCCACACTTTTACCAATTACATGTGGAAAGTTGCTCATTTATGTAAAATTCTATGTCTAGCAGTGTATTTTCTTTCTGTAGCATGAAATTGATTGTCTTCAGTAACCTTTGTAAGTATATGCACCAAGCTGAGAGGTCTGAGGTTGCGGAAGAGTTTTTGGGTTCGTGGGACTAACGATCCTTTTTCAGGGCAGTGTGTGCGGACATTGTTAATGTCCTGAGCGTCTTTCTCGTACAGAGATACTTGCATTAACGTGCACGAAGTCAAAAAAGCCTTTTTTGTGGGTGTTGAAGAAAATCAGTGGTGGTTCTGTCATGGAGGGACTCTGATGTCGTGTGTGTCCTATGTGATGTCGTGTGTGTATAATTGTGAGATGTCATATCTGTACCGTGTGAGCCATCTTTCTATTGGTCAATAGGAAACCCAAAGAGGTCATCATTCTTTCCATCTGTCCCAGAACAGTTGTCCTAGGCAATAGTTTCTTACCCATTGTTGACGTGCTGAATCTGAAATCTGTATTACTGTTTGTTCACAAACGTCTGACTTCCTTTCCTTTGAGTTTTACATCGCCAATCTTGATTTTGCACAGGGGTTCAAAAGATCGGCGATCGAGGAGCTTTATCCCGTGAGTCTAGCCTGATGAAATTCTTAAGGACAGCCCATGACCGGCCTTCCCCAGGACAACAGACGTCAACGTTGCGTGCCCAAGAAGATTTCAAAAGAAACCAAGATGACGATTTGACGTGAGTTTCAGGCAGTTGGAAAAAAAGAAAGACAAAACATTTTTGGAAACAGTAACTTTGGAGACCGTGAGCAGAAAGTCTCAGGATTTATAAAAATAACCACAGGAGCGGTAGTTTTGCGAGATTGTGAAATTGGAGAGTCCTAAAGGGAAACAAATCCACGTTCGTTGTATTTTATTCTTAAAAAAAACAATAAAAGAGAAAACACTCACTGACAAGTGACTGTTATCTTTATTTACCAGACCTCAAAGAGTAGAGAAGCTGGCTGAAAGAATTGCAGATCATCCCCCAGGGAAACCTTTATCAGAAATCAAAAATCTTTTCTGTTTGCTTAGAAATTATAAGGCTGTTCAGGACTCACCTTGCTGGGACCATCAAGCCCAAATGTAGGAAAGTTTGTGACAAATATAGGAAAGATTTCTCTGCCTTCTCATCACTTTGGAAACATAGATGAATGTACAGAAAGTTCAGAAACTTATATTAATCCTTTTCCTCGAGTTTTTCTTAGAACATTTAAATGTGTAGATGAGTTTTATAACTGCACGGAAAATGAGAAAGTTATATTAATCCTTTTCCTCCAGTCTTTCTTAGATCATTTAAATTTTTAGATGAGCTTTATGACTGTATGGAAAATGAGAAAGTTATATTAATCCTTTTCCTCTAGTCTTTCTTAGACCATTTAAATTTTTAGATGAGCTTTATGACTGTATGGAAAAGGAGAAAGTTATATTAATCCTTTTCCTCTAGTCTTTCTTAGAACATTTCCATTTTTAGATAAGCTTTATGACTGTATGGGAAATGAGAAAGTTATATTAGTCCTTTTCCTCGAGTTTTTCTTAGAACATTTAAATTTTTAGATGTGCTTTATGACTGTACGGAAAATGAGATAGCTATATGAATCCTTTTCCTCTAGTCTTTCTTAGAACATTTAAATGTGTAGATGAGCTTTATGACTGTACGGAAAATGAGAAAGTTATATGAATCCTTTTCCTCGAGTCTTTCTTAGAACATTTAAATTTTTAGATGAGCTTTACGAATGTACGTAAAATGGGCAACTCCTTCCGGGTTTCTCCATAAGTAGTACATCAAGACGTCACAGTAAATGGAAGAATTCAGAGAGGTGATAGACTTTATCAATGTCATAAATGTGTAAAACTTCTTTTTTCTTTCTTCCTTATCAGGATACATGTAAGAACCCAGATCGCCGAGAATCGCACTGAAAGTCGAGAATCTGTGAAGGCATTTTCACAATCAAATCAGCTCCCTGCACACGGAAGAATTCACGCAAGAGACAGACCTTACACATGCAAGGAATGTGGGAAAACATTCGCCAAATCCAACCACCTGGCTCAACATAGGAGAATTCACACGGTCGAGAAACCTTATGAATGTCAGCAATGTGGGAAAACTTTTTCATACTCAGGGAGCCTCAGTTCACACAGGAGACTTCACACAGGAGAGAGCTCTTATGTATGTCAGCAGTGCGGACAAACCGACACCCCGTCGCCGAACCCCGGTCCACGTGCAGTGGTTCATACGGTCGAGAAACCTTACGAATGTCAGCAATGTGGGAAAACGTATTTGCACCCACAGAGCCTCATGAAACATCGCAGAATTCACACAGGAGAGCGACTGTATGAATGTCAGAAATGTGGGAAAAGCTTTTCCCACTCCAAAGTGCTTGCTTCCTACAGAGAAATTCACACAGGACAGAGACCTTATGTGTGTAAGGAATGTGGGAAGACATTTTCCCAATCAAGTCACCTCACTGAACATGTTAGGATTCACACGGGAGAGAGACCTTATCAGTGTCAGGAATGTGGGAAAACTTTCCGCCTCTTAGCTTATCTCACGGAGCATCGTAGAACCCACACAGGAGAGAGACCTTATGAATGTCGGGAGTGTGGGAAAACCTTTTCGCACTCAGGTAACCTCACGCAACACCTGAGAATTCACACGGGAGAGAGACCTTTTGAATGTCAGGAGTGCGGGAAAGCATTTTCTCAGCTGGCTTATCTGACTGTCCACGCAAGAACTCACACAAGAGAGAGACGTTATGCGTGTCAAGAATGCGGACAGACCTTTGACCGTTCACGTCGCCTCACTGAACATAGAAAAATCCACACAGGAGGGAAGCCTTATCAGTGTCCGGCATGTGGAAAAGCCTTTTCCCATTCTGGGAGTCTCAGTAAACATGCCAGAAGCCACACGGGAGAGCGACCTCATAGCTGTAAGGAATGTGGGAAAACATTCGCCCATCTCAATCACCTGACTCGACATACGAGAGTTCACACCGGAGAGAGACCTTTCCAGTGTCAGGCGTGTGGCAAAACCTTTTCGTACGCAGGCAGCCTCAGAAAACATCTTAGAATTCACACAGGAGAGAGACCGTATGAGTGTCGGGAATGTGGGAGGACTTTTTCTCATCTTTCTTCTCTCACTGTACATGCACGAATTCACACGGGAGAGAAACCTTATGAATGTAAGGAATGTGGGAGAACCTTTTCCTACGCAGGGAGCCTAAAGAAACATAGTAGAACTCACACAGGAAAAAGACTGTACGCATGTCAGGAATGTGAGAAAACGTTTCCTCATCCTTCTTCTCTTACTGTACATTTAAGAATTCACACAGGAGAGAAACCTCATGAATGCAAGGAATGTGGAAAAGCTTTCTCACACTCAAGTCAGCTCCATAGACATAGAAGAATGCACGCACTGAGGCCTGGGTAAGGTGATACCAGTATGCACTAAGTTTGCTGAAATATCTTCAACATTAATATTAAATGTTAACTGGCCTCATTCAGGGCCCCTGGCGACGTATGAATGAGTGATTACAAAACCAGTGTGTGTTGTAAACTTTCAGTGACTTCCAAAGATGTAAAAAGGAATTCACTACAATAAAAAATATTTTTAAAAGAAATAAATGAAACCTAATGACCTACATTGAACAGTGCTGTGTTCTATCATCTTTGGGCAATCTTGTAGAAAGGGACATTGGTCCTTTTACTTGAAGGAAGACTTGACTGTATCGAAGCCTCCTCAAGACTCTATTTATATCCCAAGTCCCTAAGATGTCCTGGAAGTGGTTTCTCATGGGCACGACCTCCGTGTTTAGTACTGCAGTTAGTCCGGCCAAGGGTTGCATAATGGTGACTGCCAGCATGTATCCACAATAAAGGAATTAGAAGTGAGACTTCACAGTTGGGAAAAAAAATTAGCTTGATGCTATAGACCAACTTGTATTGATGGCCAGTCTGTTGTACAAATGATTCTTCTCTTGTGTTTCCCAAGTTGTACTTTATAGGAAGGAGATTCCCCCAGCCTGTTTGCTGAGATCCTTTTGAATACTCAGGAAGTAAAGCCAAACTTAATATCAAGTGGATTCCAAATGAAAGCGGTCCAATATGACAGTGCCAGTGTCCTGTAGACTTTCCAAGGCCACACTTACTAGTTGAAGTGGATTTATTTCATCTTTTTTTTTTTCCCCTCAAATATCAGTTCTTGAATTTGAGTCTGAGGATCTGTTTTCTGTGATCCCAATTCTTTCTCCCATCTCTCACTCAGATGCATAGCCAGTGATAAAAAAGACCATGGTTTGAATCTTGTTCTAATCAGTACAGCAATTACCTGACAGTTTGCTGTACTGTGATATCTTTTGAATTGCTGTGATACTGAAAGTTATACCACTGGAATATCAAATGCCCTAAGGATTACACATGGTGCAGGGAACACTGGGGGTCTCCTGGCAGGAAGCTGCACTGCAATTCCAGAGGGTTCACAGTTCGAATCCACCAGATGCTCTGCTGGAGAAGGAGGTGCAATCTCCTCCTGTACCAGTCAGTTTCGATTTGACGGTTACACACACACACACACACACACACACAAAATAATAAAAATTTAACGCATGGTGGACAGGTGTTGGTAGAGCTTCCAGATAAACATAGACAAAGATGTACGATTTCCTATCCACTTATACAACATTAGAACATTTAAAACTCCTATGAATACTAGAAGAGCTTGGTTATATATCGTCAAAAGTTAATTGTATCAGACAGTGCTGGTTTTTATCTGTAATAGATAGTAAGGGCCACCTCGAGGCGACTATATCTGACTTTTACCAACTTCACAAAGGGGAATTTTCCTGGCAATGTAATCACATACCACATAAGCAATTCACAGGGGTCCAGGCATATCTCCCAAGCAACCAAGACATTTCCCATACATGGCAACCGAGGGTTAGACCTCATATATGGAAACACAGAAAAGGAGCAGGTATGAGCAGACACTCTTGATTGGAACGTGGGAAGCGTGAATGTTGGAAAACTGGATATTGGTAAGAAGAAAAAATAGAACACAAAAATCGACATACTAGGTATCTGCAAAATGAGATGGCTTGGCAAGGGACATTGTGAATCAGATGATCATATGCTGGAGATGAAAAGGTGAGGAAAAATGGGCTTGCTTACATCATTAAAAAAGTAATTTCTAGATCGATCTTGAAAGTAATGGTGTGAGTCACAGGACAATATCCATACAAATACAAGGAAATGCAGTGAATACCACTATTATTCAAATATATGCATTTACAAGTCGAGCCACAGAAGAGAAAATAGAAGATTTCTACCAACTTTTGCTGTCAGAAATGCATCAAACATGCATTCAAGATGCATTAATTATAATGGGTGACTGGAATGCAAAACTGGGGAGGAGGCAAGTAGGATCAGTAGTCAGAAAACATGGACTTGGTGAGAGAAATGAAGCTGGAGATAGAGTAATAGAGTTGTGTACATACCAGGATTTATTCATTGCAAATACTTCTTATAAGAAACACAGGCTGTAAACTTGAAGTACACCTGACAGTATGTATAGGAATCAAATGAATTTTATCTGTGGAAAGAATTGCTGGAGAAGCTCTATGTCGGCTGTGAAAACTAGGACAGGTGCTGAATGTGGAACAGACCACCAACTACTCATATGCAAGTTCAGGCTCAAGGTGAAGAAATTTTCATCAATTCCACGAGAACCAACATCTGATCTTGAGTCTGTCCCACTCAAATTTCAAAACCATCTCAGGAACAATTTTGAGACCTTGAAAACGAATGAGCAAAGACCAGATGAGCTGTGGGAAGATATCGTGAATATCATTCATGAAGAATGCAAAAGGTAGAGGAGGAAGGAAAGACCAAGGTGAATGTCAGAAGCTACTTTGAATATTGCCCTTGAGCACCGAGAAGCCAAACCAAGGGGGAAGAAATCTAGAAATTGTGCAACTGAACAGATTTCAAAGGGCAGCACAGGAAGACAAAGCTAAATATTGTCATCAAATATGCAAACAGTTGGAGTCCGAAAACTAAAAGGGCCACAGTCGCTCGACATTTTTTAAGCCGAAGGAATTGAACAAATTCAAGCCTCGAGTTGCAATACTTGAGGCTGCTTTGGGCAGAATATTAAATGATCCAGGATGCATGAAAAGAAGATGGAAGGAGTATGCAGAGTTACTCTACCAAAAGGATTTGGCTGACACGGAAGAATTTCATGAAACAAATTATGTGTAAGAACGTGTGGTGATCAAGGAAGAGTTTCAAACTGTTCTGAAAGAATTGGAGAAAAAACAAGACCCTGCAACCAATGGCATACAATTGACATATATCCTCAAACAGACCCTACCCTGGATGTGCTCACCAAGTTGTGCCAAGAAACCTGGAGGTCACCCACCTGGCCAACTGACTGGAAGAGATCTGTATTTGCTCCCATTCCTAAGAATGGTAGTGCAAAAGAGTGGAAATTATTGCCCAATATGAGTAATATCACATGTAAGCAAGATTCAGCTGGAAATGTTCCCTAAATGACTGGAACGGTACCTTTCCAGAGAACTGCCAGATGTGCAGGCTGAGTTGCAAAAAGGCTGTGATACTAGAGATAGTATAGCTAATGTTAGATGGATCTTGGCTGAAAGCAGAGAGTACGACAGGAATGTTTACCTGTGTTTTCTTGACTATGCAAAGGTGTTTGTGTGGGTCCCAATATACTGTGACTCACTCTGAGAAGAATGGGAATCCCAGAGTATTTGATTGTGCTTGTGTAAAACCTGTACTGGGACCAGGAGGGAGTTGTCAGAACAGAGCAAGGAGACAGTACATGGTTCAAAACTGGGAAGGGAGTATACCAGCAATGTATTCTGTCTCCATATCTTTCAATCTATATGCAGAACAGGTCATCTGGGAGGCTGGGCTCAGTGAGGCGGAATGTGGCATCAGAATTGGAGAAAGAGTCATCAACAGCTATTATTATACAGATGACATACACCTGCTTGCTAAAATTGAGGAGGACCTGAAGCAGTTGCTACAGAAGGTCTGGGACTGCAGCCTTCATTATGGATTGATGCTCAACATCAAGAAAACAAATATTCTCACCACTGGGTCAACTGACAGCAGTAAGATAGATGGTGAAGAGATTGTTAACAGCTTTGGTTTGCTTGGCTCCACAATCAAAACTCTTGGTAACAGCAGCCAGGAAATTAAGAGACAAATTGCACTGGAAAAGTCTGCGGTCAGAGACCTTTCCAGTGTAGTGAAGATCAGTGACATCAATCTGGAGACTAATGTGGCCTGACCCAGGCCAGAGTCTTGGCAGTTTTTTACTATGCGTCCGAAACCTGGACAGTGACTAGGGATCACCGAAGGAGAATTGATGCCTCTGAGTTTAGGTGCTGGCGAAGAGAATATAGCACGGACTGCCAGGAGAACAAATAAGTTCGTCATGGTGAGGCTGAAACCAGACTGATCCTTGGGGACGAGCTTTCTGAGGTCTCGTCTGACATACTTTGGGCATGTTGCAAGGAGGGACCAGTCCTTGGAGAGGGACATCATGCTTGGGAGGGTGGAGGGACGGTGCAAGAGAGGAAGACTCTCAATTAGATGGATTGATTCAGTGACTGGGGTAATGAGGGTAGATGTGTCAGAGACAATAAGGTGTAGAGAAATATTTATGTAAGATTCTGTGTCTGCTAGTCCAGTTTGGTTTTGTAACCTTAAATGGATTCCGTTCAGTCACTCCGGTAAGTGTATTCATCAGCTTCTGAGGTCATAAACCAGGGAAACATCTGTGGGGCAATGGGATTAACACTCATGTAGGTCCACTTTGTTGGGAAATCATTAATTTGCTGAAGATCTTTCCCATAGTGAGATACTTGCATTTACATGCACAAAGTAGAAAAAAGTGTTTTTTCCTCTTAAGAAGAGAACCAATCAGGTTAGGTTCTTTCAGGCTTAGCAGTCCTGTCATGGAGGTTGTGGGATGTTATATGTGTCGTTATGGTATATGTGTCCTGTGTGATGTGTGCATCCTGTGTGACCTAGTGTGAGCCCTGGGAAATAAGTGGGTCAAGGCACTGGGCTAAGGGCAGGGACTGTTGTTGTCTAATGCCATCGAGTCGTAGACGACTCATAGCGACCCTATGAACGAACAGCCTGAGCACTGTTCATACATAGAGTTTCTGGAGGCAAGCCCTTTTGGAAGTGGATGCCGCTCCT